TGTGTCTCCTTCCACCGCCTGCCACCTGCCCCTCACCTAGAACCACGACTCCTTCCACCCCTTAATGGAAGAAGGCAGCCCCACCACAAAGGGTGCATGAGCCCCCCATGGAGTTAAATAATACCACCCCCTTGACTCCTTACCTATTACCCTAGGCTGGAATAGGGTCATGAAGACGTGGAGAGGCATATCCTTCCCAAGTGACACTTCCTTCTATAGGAAGTACAAGCCAACTAATTGGCTCTACCCATTTAGTAGAACCTGGGTCGGTGATAACATAAAGTTCCTCAGCATCGCCATGAAGAAGGGATGTAAAGGAAGACGCATACCTGCCTTAAACAGGTACTCGCTCACCGCCATGTATCTAGGCCTCGGATAGTAGGCTCGCTCATGGGCCTCGGGTACTAACATCTCTACATAATGGGGTATACAGTACCTCTCCCTAATCTCTCCCAGCCTCTTTCCTGTCATATTCGAAGGGACCCTAGACGCCCCCCACTCTACACTGTAGTCTACTGGCTCCTCGGTCATAGCATACTGCTCAAACTCGGAGTCCCCCTGTAACTAGCCCCCTGACCAAATGACACCACAGTGACCAACTCCCTACCCGAGGTGGACTCCATTTCAAAAAACGATTAAGAGCGCAATACAAGGGATTTTCTGTGAAAATACCTACGGGAATAACTACGCCGATGGAATGGTGCCGGAAAACTAGGGAAGAAATAGCTTCAACGTCGGAAAACTTAAGCTTTGGAAGAAAAATCAGATTGCAAAAGGTAGAAAATCCAGTGAAATGGGGGTCTCTTACCTTTTATAAAGGGCGAGGACGAACCCTAACCGTCTGATCAAAACCCATCCAATCTGGACCCTTCATTCTAAATCAAATTCGAGGCGTAAAATTCAAACGATTTTTCAAACCTACGCCTCAGATTTAAGCGTGTCTCCCATGCACCTCCTCCAACGTGTTTGGTTCTAGAAGCTCCAACTGTTCTCATGATTACGGTTTTAATTCGACGGCCGTAGGCGCCTTGGAAGTTGTAACGGTTCAGCCACATTTCCTCGAAAATATGAGCAAAACATCAAATCATTGGCACAACTGCCGAGGAACAATTATTGTCAATGTGCCTCAGAATTCAGCCATCAAGCCTCGCAGGTTCGGTTTCTCAACCACCTCGACTTCCTCATCAGAAATCAGCCATCAAGCCTCGCAGGTTCGGTTTCTCAACTCCTCGGCTTCCTCATCAAAAATCAGCCATAAAACCTCGCAGGTTCGATTTTCTCAACCACCTCGGCTTCCTCATCAGAAATCAGCCATAAAGCCTCGCAGATTCGATTTTCTCAACCACCCTGGCTTCCTCATCAGAATTCAGCAATTAAGGCTCACAGGTTCGGTTTCTCAACCACCTTGGCTTCCTCATCAGAATCTAGCCATCAAGCCTCGCAAGTTCGGTTTCTCAAACACCTCGGCTTCGTCATTCTCGTCACTCCTCCACAACAACACATCTCTAAATCCAATCATGATATAAATATCTATACTTGGACTTGGGGGACTATTATTTGGGGTACAAAAAATTTCAAAAATTTCTTTCGATTTAACCATTTGGCGTTACTTCACCGAAGTCCTCGCATTACATAAATGACTATACTCGGACTTGGGGGACTATTGTTACGTGTTTGCACACTTGGGCAACCCACTAGGGCCCACGGCCAACTCATGCCGAACCACGTGGCACTCAAGTCGAGGTGATTTGCATAGTCGAAGCCCATAAATCGAGCTCCACAGATGCCCCGGCCCATATATTCCGAGGCCCATCTATCATTGCCTCCTGAGGAGCTTCCGAAGCCCATATGCCGAGGCCCTTTGAAGGTGGACGAGGCTCTGTTGGCCGAAGCTCAGTTGCCGAGGTGGCATTCTCCGAAGCACAAAGCAACATCTTCCATAGACACCTCTCCCTAGAGATCTTCTGCACAAAGATCTTACTTGAATGATTGATAGGATGTTTATCATGAGTGTAAATGTTAAGTCTTGTCACTAGTAGAGGCGGCTCTGGCAATCAATAAATGTATAACAGGCTAGGTGCGGCCGATACCTACAATTTAACATGTAACTCAATCGGATGAGGCCACGTGTACCCTGAACCAAAGGTCACGATCTAACTAGTGACACTATAAATACTTTCCCATGTACTCCATACAAAGACTAATGCAAGAATCAATACAAGAAATCATACTTTACTCAACTCTCTCTTTCTTATTATCTTAGAACACAAACGAGTTCATACATATTTAGTTATACATTTACAAATATCGATTGGTAATTATTGTACAATCGGTCTACGAACTTTCCGTCGGATTCCGAACGTTCTCGTCCCGGGCCGTTGAGGTACTCTCACGCCCTTGATCTGTCCGTTTTAGATCGTCCATGTGTCCTAGCGTGTTGGCCTTTCGTTCACGTGTGCGCGGGTGGGTCCGACATCTGTTGACAACATATTCTGGGGTCAACAAAATTTATCGAAATATATATAGTATTATTGGGCTTGTAGAAGAAAATCTACTCTTTACGATTAATTATTTTTAAAGATGCTGTTTATAATAAAAAATAACGAGCAGTATTGTTTAGAGAATTTTTGACTCTAAAACTTGAACCAAGCTACATGTATAAATATTTTTGACAGAATTTTCATTGAATTACAGTTGTTAAGTTTCCATTTATAGTTGAAAAAAGAATGAAAAAGAACATTGCCAATCAGGTGCAGCGTGTACACTTGATTTTATCCATAAAACTTACATTCCATTGCGAACTAAAAATAATAATAGGTCTGAACTAAAAATTAACATAATTGCAGATTTTTTCTCTTACACAACAAAATACTAACAAATTATTAGAGTAAAAAAATTAATTTTAAATATCTTTTTTTTCCCAATTAAATAACAAAATTATAAAATAAATCATACATTCTTATGTGAAATTTTGTATCTTTCTTTCTTTCGAAAATATTAGTTTCACGTATCATGTCATTTCATGCAACATTACCGCATTAACAAATTCTATAAATAAGTGACGAGACTTGAATTTAGAATAGTTTTTATGTTATGATTATGTTGCAATAGTTCATTTAAAATTTTAAAATCAAACCACATTACTTGAGTATATTGCAATAGTTCATTTAAGTTTTTAAATCAAACCACGGTACTTGAGTGTTTTATTATTAATAGAGAAAAAGGAAAGCTATAGCGGAAGAGAAACATAGACCAAATTTCCAACAAAATAAGAAAAATAATCTTATTCGAAGATGTAAAGTCCAATGAAACATAAATAATTCAATGAAATTTTTAAGGGCATATCTGTAATCTAGTCGTCATATATCTAGTCTCCATGCGTCTTGTGCGATATGTGTCCTAGTCATAATAATCGATGTACTCGAGATCATTAAAAGAAGGGGAGACCTCATGGACGCGGAAGAAATAATTTAGGAAGATTATGATAATATAAATTTGGACTATATCGAAAATGTGTGCATATGAATTAGTGGATTTTAGCAGCCATCGATATGCTTTTTGTCATTATTCATAAAATTACGTGAAAGAACTCCATGAGGTAGCTTTTTATCTTAAATGAATAATAATTAAAGTAGAGGACTCTTAATTTAACTTGACAGATTTTACCCAATACTTTTAAGTAAATAAGTAATTAAAGATTGACCTGATGAGATTCATCACCAGTTAACCCGAGTTCCAATATTTGTAAACCAACCAGAAAGATTAACCTAGTTCTATCACTCAAGACTGTTAGTGGTCAGTCACTGGTGCAAGAGTCTACTGAACTTGAGCATGAAGTAAGTTATTATAATCAATTTAAATTATAAATTAATAAAAATAAGTAAATGACGATGAATAAGTGGGTAGTATTCATGTGTTTCATCAAATATGTGAATAAAAAATGAAAGTGATCGAAAGTGATGAAAATAGCATAAATGTATTCGTCGGACTTTCACACTATCCAACGAGATGTCATGGAAGACTTCCCACTATGGTTGGTAATGTTGCCGACTGGAATGTTATGAAAAAATTTCACGACACGACACGACATGATAGAATGAAAAGCTATATAGCATGATGTCTATGTTCTTAAACTTTTCACAACGCAATATTATTGATCGTCGTAGAATTTATGAGTTCATGATCAGGAAATGTTATTTTAAATTATAGCTTTTAGTAGTTATTGATCTTTTGTTGTCCTTTTATTTTACATTTTCTATATATTCAACGTGTTTGAGTTTGCATACTAAACACAAAACTACACCGCCAGCGAGCAAATCCTGCATAACCACCCCACTCCACCACATTAGTCAAACCAATTATACATCCAACAAAAATTATATTAAAAAAAAAACCAATATAATGATAAATTCATCCAATTTAAACAAAAAACAAATCATTTTTCTGATAAATTCACCAAACATAAGTTGGAAAGAAAATCAATTTTCACCATACTACTCAAAAGGATACAAAATTGATACATGCAATTATCAATTATGAAAAATAGACTATCAATTCCAAATTATACTACAATTATTTAGAACTATATATAGTATGTACAACTCAGAAAAAAAAAAAAATTGCAAAACGTGTCAAAAAATATATATATACGAATTGAACTATTGAAGTATGAAAGTATGACATTGATCTTTCCAAATCTGCCATTTTAAGCCCTTCACGCTCACATGGTTAACAGCAAAATCATCGAAAAATTCAGAAACCCATTTCAAAAAATTTGTTCACGTATGACCTTTTTTTGTGTTCTATTATGCATATAAATATGAAAAGTAGTGAGCCAAAAGACAAATTTCAACCCATAGTTGAAAACTAGATAAATTGAATTAAAAAATATATATAATACGGCTGTTAACTTTAGCCGTGTCAAAATGAAGGTGAAGGTATATCATTTCTTTGTGTTCCTGTTAATGGTGCCTTTACGTGGCACTTCTGCCAAACCGAGAATGGCGAATCTTGAAGATGAGAAGAAATGGACTCGAAGAAATGAGGGGCCGCCTCGTAAGTTCATCGAGGTCTGTCTACATGCCCTTTATTTTTGCGTGTTTGCTTGTATTGAGATCTGTTGTCCAAAATTGGTTATTTAATTTGCTGTCTACCTAATGATTTATTGAAACATTACTTTAAATTAACGTGCACGAGTCGAGGTTTCAAAATTGGAGAAGATATGTTCTCTTCAACTCCTCAAAACTGGAAAAGATTTTCTTGAGAAAACTAGTATGATGATAGAAATGCACAAAATTCGTAGCTTGACCGTTTGGTTTTTAGTTTCGTTTCATTTTTTTTTATTAATATTCAAAAATATATTGTTCATCAAAATATTGTTGCTTGCAGGGCTCATCTAAGGGGAATCAGATCAATGTTTCTTCTGTTTCCATTTCCAGTCCTCCCAAGAAGGAAAATGAGCCTCTTCCAATAGAAACACCGTTCAATCTTCCTTCTCCACTCCCACCCTGGCCTCAAGGTACAAAATTACACATTTTTTGCATTATTTATTTAATGCGAACATTGTTAACTTTGCATTTCTTTTCTTTTGGATTTAGGTGAAGGCTTTGCGAGTGGAATAATTGATCTAGGAGGATTACAAGTGTGTCAAGTATCGACATTCACTGTGGTGTGGGCTACGAAAGAAGGCGGACCGGATAATCTTGGCGCAACATTTTTTGAACCATGTTCTTTACCAGATGAATTCTTTTTGCTAGGATTCTATAGCCAATCCAACAACAGGCCTTTATCTGGATGGGTTCTTGCAGCAAAAGATGCAACAAGTGAAGGTCTCTTGAAGGAACCAGTTGACTACATTCTTGTTTGGAGTAGTGAATCTTTGAATATTAATCAAGATGGTGTTGGCTATATCTGGCTGCCAATACCCCCTGATGGCTACATAGCTCTCGGACACGTCGTCACGAGTTCTCCTGAGAAGCCGGCCGTCGACAAAATTCGATGCGTTCGCTCTGATTTCACGGATTCTTTTGAAAGTGATGATTGGATTTGGGGGCCAGATGATGAAATTGATACAAATGAGATCAATGTTTATAGCACAAGACCATCAGTTAGAGGAATTCAAGCCATGGGGATTCCTACAGGAACATTTATAACCCAAAAAAATGGGGCTGCTGGATCAACTCTTGTCTGTTTGAAGAATGCAAATGCCAGTAAAAATGCTTTGCCTAATTCAAATCAGATTAAGGCATTGATTCAAGCTTACTCTCCTTATATCTATTTTCATCCTGATGAAAACTACTTACCTTCCTCATTGACCTGGTTTTTCGAAAACGGAGCACTACTGTATACGAAAGGTCAAGAATCGAATCCAATAGCCATTGATAGCACGGGCTCAAATCTTCCTCAGGGGGGCGGAAATGATGGTTCCTATTGGATAGACCTTCCTATGGATGATATAGAAAAAGAGAGAGTCAAGCTAGGAGATCTACAAGATGCCTATGCTTATTTACATGTTAAACCCATGTTTGGTGCAACATTTACAGACATAGCAATATGGATATTTTACCCTTTCAATGGTCCTAGCAGGGCGAAAGTCGGATTCTTCAATGTTCACATGGGGAAAATTGGAGAACATGTTGGAGATTGGGAGCATGTGACCTTAAGAATCAGCAATTTCAATGGGGAGCTTAAGGCTGTCTATTTTTCTCAGCATAATAAAGGAGTGTGGGTGGAAGCTTCAGAATTGGAGTTTGAAAATGGTAATAAACCAGTGGTCTATTCATCATTACATGGCCATGCCTCGTATCCAAAACCCGGCCTCGTTCTGCTAGGGAAAAGGAAAATGGGCATAAGAGATGATACTGGGAAGGGGACTTTTTCCATGGACACTGGAGAAAAGTTTTCAGTGGTGAATGCTGATTATATGGGGTCTATGTATGAAAATCCACCATGGCTCAATTATACAAGAGAATGGGGTCCAAAGATAAGCTACGAAATTGAGGATGAGCTCAAGGTGCTTGAGATGTTTTTGCCAGGGAAATTAAAGCCTAAATTTGAAAATTTTGTGTTGAGTCTTCCTCAGGAGTTGTTGGGGGAGGAAGGGCCTACTGGGCCTATGGTTAAAGATAATGGGGTACTTTTAAGTATAGCTTTGTCAAACCAACCATTTTCCATTTTAACCATAAAAATCTAACATTCACCACAATAGCCATTTCTTGTGTAAAAGACTAAAATGCCCTTAAATGAGTTATATAATTACAAAAATAGAAATATGGTAAAAAGACAAAAATATCCTTAAGTTACAAATAAAAATCCAAACAAGGCTCAATTGAAATTTGAAAACGAAGTCAGTCTTTTCATCAGTTTACTCTAACACGATAAAAACTCTTCCATTTTTCATCCACTTCAACCTCAAAATTTCATAAACTTATCAGTTATCAACCTCAACAGAAAAATTTAGTTAAATTTCAGCACTTCAATTCGGTAAGTATCTTTTCGTAGTATTTAATTTTATTTTTATTGAAGTCGTATATTTTTTTTAAATGGTAGAAAAAATAATATTAGAGTCAAAGTTCAGGCCGGCACCGATCAGACGTCGGAACGACGGATTTAACGACGGTCCGGACAGTCCGGACCGTCTGTTGGGAACGGTCCGGATGAACGGACGGTCCGGACCGGACCATCCGGACCGTCCGTCGCCGACGGTCCGGACCATCCGGACCGTCCGTTGCAGACTCCCCCGCCCCTCGATTCTGATAATTTTTTTCTGATAATTTATTCTGATATTTTTAATTCATAATGCAGATATGGCAAAAGCGTGTGTCCCAATCTGTTATTTTGGCGAATTTCAAAGGAAAGAAAATGGTCAATGGGAATGGAAATGGAGGAGTGAAGGAGAAGGGGTTGCTGCTATTACGATAACAAAAAATACTTCGTTTACAGAAATGTACAGTGAAATACAAAACATGCTTAACGTCGATTCCTCTCAGTACGATATGGAATTGGGATTTTTATTTCAAAAGCATTCAACAATTTCGATTTCACCTTTGAAAGTTACTTCTGAAGCGTAAATAAAGCATCTAATTCAATTGAACCAAGGTCGAAAGACGACTCCTATTTGCGTAAGTTTGTTGAAGAAAAATGTCATCGAGGGTGAACACGAAGTTTTTGATGGAGAGGATCGTAATGAGAATGATTTTTGGGATACTGTTGAGATTGCTCGGGAGGATGATGTGGTTATTCCTAGGGCAGTTGCTACTCACCATGATGTCACCGTTACACGAAGGATTTACGAGGAAGTTTAAGACAACGAGGATGAAAGGCCATTTACAAATCAGGATTTAATTGCTTTATCCAGACAGAGACATGAGTCTGGTGGGAGCTCACATGCTGGGCCGAGTACACGGTCTTCTAATTGTTCGCGTGTAGTTCCTGATGATGAAGATTTACATGTCGATCAATTGTTTGACACGAAAAGAGATTTGCAAGAAGCCGCGCACCGAATTGCAATGAAACATAATTTTGAGTTTAAGGTAAAAAAATCAAATAAGTCTACATACACAATTATTTGTGTGGACAACAATTGCAGTTGGCGTTTGAGTGCGACAAAGATGGACACAAATGAGTTCTTTGTTGTTCGTAAGTATGCGCGGGAACATACTTGTGAAGTGGGTATTCGTCAAAATGATCACAGGCAAGCTCGATCATGGTTTATTGGTCGAAAGATAATGCACAAGTTTCAGGATCCACGGACGATTTACAGACCTACAGATATCATCAACGACATCCGTCGAGAGTATGGGGTGGTTATGAGTTACCAGAAGGCCTG